AAGACTAGGATCGTCGTCCAACCCTACAGGGGGCCACCTAAATCCCCCTGGTAACTTATCCTTAATTATTTCTGGGGGAATGCATAAGTTATCCCAAACCCTCAAAAGTCTTCCCAAGGGACTATATAGGTATAAGTCGAGGTCATCATACCTTTTTCCCAGCACCCTCTTTTGGCTTCCCTTTGCTGCCCTCCCTGGATGTCCATATCGGGGTTGTCACCCCTTTTGTTGCCCAGTCCCATAGTACTCACCAGTGAGATTTCAATGGTCCATTCCGTCAAACCTGGTCCTTTCCGTCAGACTTCAGCGCTACCTGGAGGTCCTTTCCGTCAGACCTAGCCCTTTCCGTCGGACTATAGTGCTACCCGGAGGTCCTTTCCGTCGGACTTTAGCGCTACCCGGAGGTCCTTTCCGTCGGACCTAGCCCTTTCCGTCGGACTTAGCGCTACCCGGAGGTCCTTTCCGTCGGACCTAGCCCTTTCCGTCGGACTTAGCGCTACCCGGAGGTCCTTTCCGTCGGACCTAGTGCTTTCCATCAGACTTAGCGCTACCCGGAGGTCCTTTCCGTCAGACCTAGCCCTTTCCATCGGACTGAGCTCTACCCGGAGGTCCTTTCTGTCAGACGTAGTCCTTTCCTTTCCGTCAGACCTAGTCCTTTCCGTCAGACCCCTTGAGGACCCCCTCCTGGTCCTACCTGCGGATCACCCGATCCGCTTCTCGTCTGTCTCTGGACAGTCTCGGGAACCCAATCAGTCGTCAGGTGCAGGCTGCTGTCGAAGGGAGTCGATCACCTGTCAAACTGTGGAGAAACCCCCTTATTGATGAATACAGAAACTTGAGCATTCCACTCACACCGGCATTGGTGATGATTGCTGTTTACAGGATGTAAACAAAATAGCTCTTGACAGTGTTGGCAAGAGCCTGGGAGCACCCAGAGGAGCCCCTGGACAGTCCCCAGAGACCCTCAGAAGAGCCCAGCAGATCTGGAGTAACACGGGAGTCTCGAGCAGGCTTAAGAGATCCTGGGAGAGCCGCTCAGGAGTCTCAGGTGCCCAGGCAGTCCCTGAAGGCGGAGGAAAGCACATTGGCATATGCCACACTTTAGAAGCCAGAACATAGGAGTTTATGCAGTTTACTTGGAGATAGATGAGTCATGCAAAGACATTTGGATCCAGAATTATCCCACCTAATTTTAAACGTTGCACTGAATAGCTGCCTCTGGGCTGTATGCACACCATGTTTGGTGGAGAGCATTAATGTGCCCCCCTTCTTCCCCTACAGCACCTTTCTCTGGTGTCTGTTCAGGTGGGTTAGGTGACCAGATCCAAAACTTCAGTATCTTACTCAAGTATCAAATGTAGTTGGGGGGAATCTGAGCCAGACTTGCCCGAGAGCAAGTGAGCAATAATCAGCAAAGACATCTTTTCCTCCAGGATGGGATCCAGCTATTTTCATCTTCAAACAGAATAATGTAGAACTTGAATACCATGTTCTCTCTGACTAAGAAGGCAGGAGGGAGTTTATTCTTATACCTGTGTTTTGTGTCTCGCAGTGTTCTGCTGTCTAGGAAAGTGGCTCAGTGCAGAGGGTGAGGAAAGCCTGCCCAGAGCAGCATCCGCAAGGCCCCGTGCACTGGGAGCTCCAGGCAGCACTGCCTGTGAAAGAGCGAGCAGGGGGAGCCACTGCAGGGGGAGCAGCAGATTTGCTTTTTCGAGTGTTGGTGATATTCATGCAGATACCGGGATTTTTTTTGCAGCCTGGGCCAGAAGGAGAACGTCTGCGCATCAGTGCCCAAGATCTATTTTCCTCACTTGATTAGAAATCATGAGCCTCTGTAGCTTGTGCCTCTGCCAGCCTGTGCTTGTGGTTCAGCCCTCACTGCCTTTAATGTCTGGGAGGCTGTTCTGTCGTGGGTAGAGACAAACAGGTAGTGGCAGCAAAAAAAAAAGAAGTGGAAGTGTCCTGCTCCATTAGGACTTCTATATCTAGCTCCAAAACGCTACACAGAATCATGCAGCAGAGCAGATACCCTGTGTGATGGCGGCGACTCAGCTTCTGTGTCTGAATCTGCACAGGTTTCCCTGGCAGAATCTGCGGATTAGGAGGCACTTCATATTCATGCAAAATACAAATTTTGCTAGTGCTGTCCCAGTTAGCCAGCACTTCTGTCCTGAGCTACATCCAGATCTCCAATAGATACAAATTCTCTTTGGAATATTTTTGCATGTTTAAAATTGAAGCAAACCACCTGCATTGCTAGGCTCTCTGCGAGGAGGAAGGCAGCCTGGCTGCAGGGAGCGGCGGCGAGGCGTGAGCTCTCGTGGCCCCCAGCCCGGAGGCTGTGGCCGCCCGGCATCCTCATGCGCGTTCCGGGGGCTAAGCTCACCAGGACAGCGGCAGGTTTCTGCCAGAGCCACCTCTCGCTCGGAACCTTCCCTCGAAGGGCAGCCATCTGCACAGAGTGCTGCCAACTGGGCAAATTCTAGGAGGAAAAAAAAAATTCCAATTTCACGACCCTGATGGAACAAAATGCTTAAGTGCATTTCTAAACACAGGGCTAGCAGGGAGGGGAAGCCCAACCTAGGGAGGAACACGCCTCACACATTCTGTCTTTTGTTGAAGACATCTGTTTTATGCGATATTTGATTTTTTTTGAGGTTTTTTCTTTATACATTGCTGTAAGTGAGAGGCACCTCATTCATTTAAGCTGCTTCTGAGTTTTCCACCCTCAAGTTTGTTGTATGAATTAATGGCAGTAAGACGGTAGTAGAAAACATCAGGAGATGTTTTGACCAGGCCAGAGTTCCTAGGTGTAACCCAGAGGAAGTCACAGTAGTAAAGATAAAACTAGCATTGAAAGTTGAATTTCTATTTTTCAAACAAGTTATTTGTTAACTATTTATTGCATTTTTGTGCAACTTTTGGGAAAGAATGAAAAAAGATTTTCCTGTGAGTATACTCAGTTTGAGCACAGCAAGGAGATACCTTCTTTATGAGTATTATTTGTTCCTCTTTTACTAAATCACTGTTGTGTTTTGTGCAATAGGGTATAAAGAGATCATGCTTCCCCTCGGCATGTAGGCAGGCAATCCCCCTAATTCTTGTGTTGATATACAAGCAACAAGACAGCACTCTGTTTCCATGTTTAAACTGAGTCTAGTATTTGGGGTTGGGATGGTGCTGGGGCTGTCGGGAGTCCAAGCATGGAGCAAATTCCATTTATACAGGTGCAGCTCTGAGTTCAGCAGAGGAACATTGCAGAGTGAATGGGGATGGCACCTGTTTTCAGCACTGGGGCTGCTTCAGATACATGACATGGGCATGTGCAGGCATTTGGTCATTCTGGTCTTTCTCTCCACTTGTTATTTCTGGGGATCTGCTGAGGAAAGACTGGAACATGAGGGGCTGTTCCCAGACTGGTGAGTGAGGGACAAGGGTGGGATTTCTGGCAGAAGGAAGAGGAGCAGCTGAATGGGACCATGCCATGAGCCTGTCCGTGCCAGCATCTTGTCTCTAATGATCAGGAGCTGGTGCCAAAGATGAGCAGGTTAAACATACGTGTGTGTGGCGAGTGGGTCAGGAAGTTCTTTAGCCACATGCAACGGTCATTCTGTTTCATTGCCTTGATGGACTTTT